ATACCTAACTTAAATACCTGTATAGTGGGAAGCCCGGCCAGCCGAGGCGGGCGCGCGCTAGCGTTTACAATTATCCCCAAATCCTGGACCCTCAATGGTCCCCTAAACCCTAAACCCTAGGGCCCTAGGGGAGCCGAATAGTGACACTAGCTCATGTAGCTAAATATGACAGACTGTTCTCTTTCACCTTTCGCAGAGCTCGGCAAAACATGAAAAACCCTGAGCCTAAACTCCTAGAAGCCCAAACTCTAAATCTTACACCCCTAAACCCTAAACTCCTAGAACCCCAAACACTAAACCCTACACCCCTAAACCTTAAACTCTAAACCCCTACACCCCTAAACCCTAAGACAATCATGCTGAATGCTGAATGCTCAGCGCTTAGGTGTCATGATGTGGGACCTTACTTAGGGCTTAGGGCCTAGGATTTAGGATTTAGGGCTTCAGGGCTTAGGGTTTAGGTTTCAGGGTTTAAGATTTAGCGTTTAAAGTTTTCAGTTCAACGTTTAGAGCTTGGGGTCGAGGGTATATGGGTTACTCTCAAAATTATGGGCAGGTTTGGGTTCTAAGTGCAAATACGACATCTGAGTGGCACCAAAGCGGGACGCTAAGTTTGGAAAACTACCGTTTTGCCTGAAAAGTACATACCAGCTACATTCAGGGTTTCCTGGTATAGTTCATGGCCCTGGCTTCCTTTTAGGGAATTTGAATGCATGGAGACCCTGAAGACCCTAAACCCTAACCACCTTTAAGGAGTTCAGACTATAGCTCGAATGAGCTATTGTCAGTGTTCGGGAAGCCAAGGGATCATTAAGGGCGGACACGTTAAAGTTAAGGATTTAGGGGTGCAGGGAGTATTATGGGGGTTGTTAAGGGGATACCAGGAGTTCAGACAGTAGCTCATTGGAGGTTTTAAGCCTTCCGAAGCCTGCAATGGCTGTTTACCCTCCCTCAACAATCTGCCCACGCCATTGAGCCAAAACGTGAGATGACCGCGACATGACTCATGAACATGAATTTATGTAGGGGTCTCAACATTGAGCCTAAACAGCTACAATAGGGGTTTCGGAGTATACCACTTGCAGGCTCATGGGGCTTACTCACTATTTATAAGTCGGATATATCCCCACTTAGAATTAAGGTAGCCTATGTAATGCTGGTAAAGGGGATCATATGAGCTATAGTTTAAACACCTAGTATCCCCCCTAATATCCCTTATGGTAGTTCCCTATATAATCCCCTATATAACCACCCCTTAAGGAGCTCATAGAAGTTGGGGTATCGAAGCCCAGGTGGGTGCAGTTACCAGTCCCTGAACCTACAAGTTTAGGGTTCAGGGTTTAGGGTTAAGGATTTGGGGTTAAGGTTTAGGGTTTAGGATTCGGGGTTTAGGGTTTAGGGTTTAGGGTGTATAGTACATAGATACCAAACACCTACACCCTAAACCCTTAACCGCAGACATACAAGGGTTCATAGGGAAGGTTGCTGGTAGCTACTGAGGCCTCCACTGCACTCAACTTGCAAGATGTTCGGAGTTAGTATTTCCATTCGTATATTCTGATGATTCATGATGTGTTATTACTGTTCTTCCTGTCATCGTCCAAGATTACTGTTATTGCTGATTGATTTATCATGTCCTTTGGGGTGGGGTTGAGAAGCGCCGAGGGGCATAATGCCACCCGGCTCCAGTATGTCGTAGTAGAGCGACAGCTCCTCGCGCATATGGCTTTGGGCAACCAAGGTGTAGGGTTTAAGGGTTCAGAGGTTTAGGATCAAGGGTGTAGAGTTTAGGATGTAGGATCAAAGGTTTTTAGTTTAGGGTTTGGAGGATTCCGGCTCAAGAATTTTGGGGCTTAGTCATTTAGGATCTTGCGCTTTAGAGGTTCAGGGAGTTTGGGTACCCTAAACCCTAAACCGTCCAGTTCAGTTGCAAAGAGGCAGGTCAAATCCATTCCCAGAGCTATGGAAGCTTGGATTTCCTTACCTTGAATTCCCAAAGCGTGTAGTCCTGTCCCCCTAATCCCCTAAGGGTCCAAGGACCCAAATAATAGGGATTTAGGGCCCAAATACTATAATATTTATGGTATTTGGGCCCTAAATCCCTATTATTTGGGTCCTTGGACCCTTAGGGAATATTAAACGTCCACCCTCCCAACTAGATATTCGAACCCGTATTTGATTTTGGGGTGGCGATCATTTCATATTAGGGGGAAAGGGGTAGTCCTGCTACTTCTTCTTCTCTTCTTCTGAATCCAAATCATGTCATGGATGACGGATAAGAATGGAACATCAAGTGGGAAAGACACTGGAAAATGAAATGGAAACCAGGTTTCTTTAGGATTCATATTATGGACCTCCTAAACCATAAACCCTATACTCTAAGCCTAAACCCAGCAGAAAAGGTCGACGACCGCCAACTGCCTTGAAACGTCAGAGCACTGGGCTGCAAGAATGCAAGGACATGTTTAGGGTTTAGGGCTCTATGTTTTAGGTTCTAGGGTTTAAGGCTTTACGGTTTAGGGGTTTAGATTAAGGTGTAGGGGTTGAGGGGTTTAGGTGTTTAGGGTTTTGGGGTGTAGGGGGCCACATGAGTGCAAATGGCAACTTGCGCACATGAAGTCCCTACCCTGGCCCAAACGAACATACAACTGCACATGGCCTCTGTTAAGCGGACACTACCCTACACCCTCATTGCTGAAGCCTCTTACTTTAGGGAGGGTGCATAGGGCAAGAACCTGAAAACCTTGGCTTAGGCTGACATAAGCCCAGAGCTCTCCTGAATGTCCAAACAAATGAATCATCCAACGCTTTAGTCCCCTAAACCTGAAGACCTAACCCCGAGCCCCTAGACCCCAGACGCAAGAAAAGTGGTCCAGGAAGGTTTCGTCTAGCTCGTGCGCTGAATCCAGGAATATCAGGTCCTGCGCCGGGCATGGGAAGGCCTACGTTAGGGCTCACAGCTTTAGAGGTTGGGGTTTAGGGTTTGGAGCTTGGTTGATGCTTCTGCTGCTGCTACAAATATCTTCAAACCCTAGCCCCTAAACCGTCTAAACCCTAAACCCTGATCCTTAATTCCGAAAAACTTTTAGGTCGATAGCTTCCCCACTATCAGCCTTACATAGCCCTTAAAACCATTTCCTATTCTCCCCATTTCAAGCCTTTTTTGTAAAGGCCTACGCTTCCCAGCTCCCGCCACACAAGGTCCCAAGTGAAGACCAAATCACTGACCCTAAGACCCCCCAACTCAAAACCCAGAACTATACAGGGTCTGGGGTAAAAGGTTTAGGGCCTAGAAAGCGCACTAAAGCCCAAATCCCTAAATCTAAAACCCTAAACCCTAAAACCCACAGCCGTCTTGGACACACACACACACACACGCGCGCACACACACGCGCGCTCGCGCGCGCGCGCACACACACACACACAGAGACAGAGACGGTCCGGGTAGAAGCCCTTCTCCACTAACCACCTGGCTCCAACTGTCGAAGTCGCCTGTCATGACTTCTTGGGTTGGTTTAGGGTTTATAGGGATTAAGGCTTACTGATTCTTCTTTCAGGGTGTCTGTGAGGGCGCGCTGGTGCTGAAAGCACCCAGGAGTGCACCCTGAACTGTACAACCTCTACGGGTTTATCATTCTTTCCTGTCTTTTTGATTGTTGTTGGTGACGGCGCCTCTACGGGCCCGTGGGGTTCTGCATATTTTTGCTGCTTCCCGCTGTAAACGATGCAGGGGTGGGGGAGGTGGGGACGGGGGGACCGCTTCTCATGCAGCAGTTTTGCCTCACAAAAGGTCTTGTGTGCAGTGTCCTCGCGTCATGGTCGAGCCGTCTGTTTACGATGAGCTGCCACAGCACAAGGTCTCAACAGTTGCGCGCCCACACAAAAGGCCAGTAAAAAGCTCCGCCGCGACAGCACAGGGTTTCAACCACGGGTGCTTGACTACGTGTGGCAAAGGGCACAGGCACTAGCAAGCTCCTAAGCGAGCTTGGACAGCTTGCAAAAGCTGTGTGAACAAAAACACCGTTTTCGCAGTAGACCCCAGCCTGCGAAATGCGCTCGAAGCCATGGCAAATGGCTCAAAATCAGACATCGGAGGGGTACCTTACGGTGTTTTTGCTCCCTGAATCTACAACCCTTTTCGTGCAATTGGGCGTTTTTCCATAGTTTCGCGCGCATTGACCTCAGATCTCATACATCGGAACGTGCTTAAACGCGCGGGCCCGTACGGGCGCCGTAGCCTTGTTTTTGCACCTCTCTAGACCCGGCGGGTGCAAGGTTTTTGCTGGGTCTGGCTCGAGGCATTTAGTTTTCTCTTCAGATTGAACCTTGGCTGGAGGCCTCCAATCCTGAACGACCTGGACCTGTCTAGATCAGGTGAGCTATAGTCTACACTCCTAGTATCCCCCTTAATATCCCCTAATAGTAGTATCCTAGTAGTATCCCCCTTAATATCCCCTAATAGTAGTCCCCTATATAAACCCTGTATAACCCCATTTAGGAGTCTAGACCCAGCCCTGCGAGGCCCAGAGGCCCTGAGGGTAACAAAGGGATTTTGGTAATCCCAACCCCCAAAATTAGGACCCTATGACTATCATATGCTGGTTATAGGTTCCTAATTTTGGGG